CCCCAGCCCCTGGGGAGATCCACAGGGTGCACCTGCAGGATGCTGGAATTTGGCACCAGCTCCTGCCAGAGCCGTGCCCGATGTGCTGCAGAGCAGAACCGGGGCTCTGCGGGCCGCTGGGCGCCTGCAGCGCTGTCAAACACTGTCAAACACGTCCCAGGGGACTTCTAAACTTTAAGAAGATTAAAGTAACCTTGCATTCTTTGCTTTTCTAAGCTTCTCAGCCAAAATTAGGGTCATCCACAGATAGCAAAATAAATGAAAGAAAAAAAAAGAGAGGGATTTAAAAATGGCAGCTCATCTGAAAATGAACAGAGGGCTCGGTTCAGGCAGGAGCTTCCAGTTCCACCCCAGAGCCCAGAACCCTCTGGGGCAGCGACAGCAGCGCTGTGCAGCACCAGCCTGGCTCTGTCCCCAGGCCTTGGCTGCAGAGCTCGGTGCCACTGCCACTTCCCAAAGCCTTCCCCACGTGCCACGGGTGTTTCTGTCCATGCTGTCAGGCAGGTGTGGCACAGCACCAAACCCAACACCCCGAAATGTTTTCACTTCCCAGTGCCCGAGCTCCACCCAGCCACCCGGACCTGCCACCTCCACAGGGCCAGCACAGCCAGGACAGCCACCCCCTGTGCCATCCACTGTGCCATCCCCTGTGCCATCCCCTGTGCCATTCCCTGTGCCATCCCCAGTGCCATCCCCTGTGCCATCCCCTGTGCCATCCACTGTGCCACCCCCTGTGCCATCCACTGTGCCACCCCCTGTGCCATCCCCTGTCCCCACCACAGCATTTGCACTCCTGGGCTCCAGTGCCGCTGTCCCCCCAGGTTTAGCCCAGGATTTACAGGAGCAATGGGAGCAGCTGAGAGCGGCTCCTCCCTGCGATATTTGGGTTGGAAATCTCGTGGGCTGCCCACTCGTCCCTGCTTCCTGAGCTTAGGAGGAGATTATTTTTTTAAAGGAAACCATCAAAAAAAAAAAAAAGTCTATTTTACAAAGTGAAGTTTAAGCTTAAGTCTCTTTGGCAGCAACATCTGAGCTGGGAGAGATCAAAGACCCTCCAGCTCCACTGCCAACATGAAGAGATTTTCACCAGCAATTTGACTGCAATATTGTGGTTTAAATGCTTCATTTTCCAAGTGCAGCATCGTGCTGTACGAGCCCGGGATTTATCATCCTCGGACAAAGTTAATGTTGGCTCTGCAGGCAGGGCCAAGCCCCCCTGACTGACAGCTCTCAGCCCTCACAGTGAGCCTGAGCCTCTGTTAAGCCCCAAAATGAGGAGGAAATGGACAAAAATAGGCCTGAGAATATTCCTTTCCAGGCAGGGAATAAGCAGTCCAGAAATCCATGAGGACAGAGCTCCGAGGGATGCGCTGCCTGCACTGACCCAGGGAGGGACAGGACAGGGCTCCCTGTGCCTGCTGTGGCCAGTGGGGCAGGAGAGAGGAGTCCTGAGAGCCCAGCCTGAGGGGATGGGGTGGGCAGGGACCTTAGAGACCACCCCTGCCATGGCAGTGACACCTTCCTCTGTCCCAGGGTGTCCCAGCCCCAGTGTCCAGCCTGGCCTGGGACATTCCAGGGATCCAGGGGCAGCCCCAGCTGCTCTGGGCACTGTGCCAGGGCTGCCCACCCTGC